TTCCTGCAGGAAAAATGTATTCCTGCAGGAATTCCTGCAGGAATGACCTAACAGCATGACGGCAGTAAATAGACTATTTTTACATAGCCAAGACCTTTATTCAGCCAACGTTTCGGTGACCATCTGTCACCTTCCTCAGGACAATTCTGACTGGTTCACATCACATTGCAGCACAGGTGTCACTGCTACAGATGCATTCCCAAATGTACAACATCTACACATCTACACACATGCATGATTGGATTACAGGGAAGTATCTGCAATGCGTATCTACATTTTGGTTTGTGAGTTGAATGTTGATGCCACTGTTTCTTCCCTTACTACAGGTCCACACTGGTGTGAAAGGGTTTGTTCGTACCACAGACGGGACGGCCGTCCCCGGGGCGTCCATACGTGTGGACGGGAGGGGCTCGGTGGTTGCCACGGCAGCAGACGGAGACTACTGGCGGCTGCTGGCACCAGGAGAGTATGTCATCAGGGCAGACATGGAGGGATATCAACAGGTAATCTGTCCAATACTATCCAATATATTTAGTTATTTTTATTTAATCTTCAGACAGCAGGGTAGCCAAGTTCAATTTTGTCAAATTGATTTTCAATGGGTCCCAGCATGGATATAGTAAAATCATCAATTATTATATAACAGAGGGAGTAAACTTTTTTCAAAATTTTACATATTATTAAAGGATTTTTATCCATAAGTAACATCCAAAAGGTTTACATAAACAAAACATGTGATACATGAAATCAAATAAAGACCGATATAAACAAATCAAAATCATTTTCCATAAATCTGTAGTACATAGCCTGAGAAGGAATGGGAGTATACAATGGATTGATTTTTGTGTGAATTTACATAGGTTTGAGAAATTGTCATTTTTACTGCAAAAATAGTTTCAGAGTAGTTTTCTGTACAATCATTGATTTCCTCAAATTTGTTTGCTTACATTAATTCTGTTAAGTTTCAATATAAAAAAGTCGTGACTATCACAAAGAGAATAGCCTTCTTGCATCATCAAGTTACAGTGTACGTGTACAAGGTCTGATATACAACTGAAGCCATTTGTACTAGACTGACAGTTTTTACAACAGTCATGATACTTTATACCAAAACACTCCCTCCTTTGAGATGTGACAAATAGATATTCAGAAGACTTGCTAGTAAATATATATTTTGATTGGTCTAAATCAAATGTTTATTTAAGAAGACTCATTTTTGTTTGTTTGTTTGTTTGTTCGTTTCTTCAGGGTACCAGGAAGGTGATAGTTACATCAGGAGCTGCTAAGGAGGTTCATTTCATCCTCAGTAAGAAGTACCACATCTTTGGTATGTCTCCTACCATCATCATCATCGCAGCAGGTGGGTATAGGCAAACTTTTTAGGCCTAGGACAATTTTGATTTCAAATTTGAACATTAAAATGATGAGTCTCCAACTTTAGCCCTTACAAATTAGGGTCTGTATTTTACTTTTTGCAAAAGGAAAACATATTCGTTTTGCTGACTGTTTCTTCTTTGTCTCCAAACACACTGGTACTGTCACAGTGGTACATGCAGGTAACCTATGGTGTTGGGTTACATTATGTAGCGGGACAGAGCTGGGGGGACTTGTTGCCATATATCTGAATGTGTTTTTAATCATTGATAAGTTAAAAATAATAAAGAGAGCACTGACAGTTACTATATGTTTGTCAGGTTGGACCATGTGAAGGTACATATTAAAAAGAAACATTATTTGCTTTGCAAATGTTACAGTAACTTTGAAATTCCTAGTCCATATCGATATTGCTAACTGTTGTTAGCACAGGTACTGAAATGAAAAACAACCTGTCCTTGGTTAAACACCTGCTATACACAACCAACATAACTGTCCTTGGTGCTGAACACCATCCACACACAAGCAAATATACCTGTCCTTGGTGCTGAACACAACATCCATACACAGGCAAACTGTCCTTAGTGCTAAACATGACATCCATACCACAAGCAAACACACCTGTCCTTGGTGCTGAACACAACATCCACACACAGGCAAACATACCTGTCCTTTGTGCTAAACACAACATCCATACACAGGCAAACATACCTGTCCTTGGTGCTAAACACAACATCCACACACAGGCAAATATACCTGTCCTTGGTGCTGAACACAACATCCATACCACAGGCAAACATATCTGTCCTTGTTGCTGAACACAACATCCATACCATGGGCAAACATATCTGTCCCTGGTGTTGTACACAACATTCATACCACAGGCAAACATACCTGTCCTTGGTGCTGAACACAACATCCATACCACAGGCAAACATATCTGTCCTTGGTGCTGAACACAACATCCATACACAGGCAAACATACCTGTCCTTGGTGCTGAACACAACATCCATACACAGGCAAACACACCTGTCCTTTGTGCTAAACACAACATCCATACAGGCAAACACCTGTCCTTGGTGCTGAACACAACATCCACACAGGCAAACATACCTGTCCTTGGTGCTAAACACAACATCCATACAGGCAAACATATGTCATTGGTGCTGAATAACAGTTTTTTTTCCATGAGTTTTATGTTGTCACAAATACTTTGTTCAAGTTCATTCCTAGGGAGTTCTTCTTCTTCTATCTGATTTAACGTCATTTTTTCCCTGAAATGCATAAAATGCAAGTCTTCTTTTTTGGAGCTGGATGCCCTTCCTAATGCCAACCCAAACCCTAGTAGGGCCCAGGATCCCTCTAACTGAGGGGAGAAATACGTGTTAAGTGCCTTTCCCAAGGGCACAACGTGTGGATACATGTCCGGACATGTCTGGGTCCAACCCTGGGGATTGAACCTGGGTCTGCTTGCTTGACAGTCGGATGCTCTATCCACTACACCACACAGACGCCACTGTTCATTTCCAAATTCTAACAGGTGCCATTGTCTTGTGTCTTCCCAGCTGTAAGTATGATGGCCATTGTGTGCACAGCTGTTGTCATCTGCAGGCTGTGCCGGACACCTGCGTACAGCTACAGCAAGCTGGGGACGTCAGAGTACGGGGACACCATTCTCATGAACAAACTCAAGACAGACGCTTCCCAAAAATCTCTTCTGCAAGACCACGAGTACCACGATGACTTAAGTGGTAGTGAAGATGATACAATTTATTGGAAAAGGTAGTATTAAGTTTTATAAGTTTCAGAAATGTGTGAATTGTCAAGTGAAAATTTCACGGGTGACATGCATATCAGAGCTGCAATGAGGATTGTGCTATTATATTGTTTAATCAGGTAACAAATACATGTATTTGGGATTTTGGAAGTAATGTGCCCCTTGTTCTTTTTGTAGTATAGGATGGATACAGATGTTATATATGGGAGCATACTCAGGAGAGAATAGTTTAATAAATGCAATTTTATTCAGCATAGTTTTTATTGGAAAAGGTCTTCCCAACAGAAGTCAACAAATTCAACACAAAGTGTTTGGAAATCTAAACTTGATCAATGAATCATAATATGATCTTGTGCCCATGCTGAAAATGATCTCTTGCCCAGTGTTCCGTGAATTGATTGGCCCCTATCTGGTGTTTATGGGCTTTAAACAACACTGGTAAAGTTATAACATCATAGCCAGACTGAGTATTAAATGGGGACTTCTGATTGGTCAACATCTTGTTGACTAATACATCATTAACATATATGTTAATGATATTGATAAAGTAATAACAGGTTGATAAAAAAGAATTCCTGACTTATTGTGTTGAATGTAGATCTCCATTCTTCTTCAAAATGATTGACCCAGCACGTCGGCAGAACGTACACATGTACACATGTACTGCACCTGCGCGAAACCCGTAATGTATTGTGCTTAGCACTTTGGCAGAACGTCTCATATAAGGTTGTATTTGTGCATATAAGGTTAACAAACTGTCTATAGTTTCCAAATGTTATGTCAGAAAAGATATCCTCTGCAACAGGCAAAATTCTGATGCAACGTTAACCAAACAGCTAACAAAAACCGCTAAAAATCAGGGTTCTGCGCAGGCGCAGTACGTTCTGCCGACGTGCTACTGACCCGATTGTTCAGGTCATGTGACCTTGAAGTGTGACAGCAATGGTACGGTCCAAAGGGTGGTTCAGTTAAGAAAAAAACTTGTGCCCAAATGTGTGCTGGCCTCCTACATGTACATGTATCACTTTCTGAAGTCTGAACCATTTTTTGTCAATTACTGTAAATCACTTTGTTTGCAGTAGAATATGCAAATTTTGACAGACATGCAGACACTCTTTATTATACATGCCCTGATACGTCGATGAAGGTTAGACATCCAGGTAATACGATATGCCAAAAAACAGTTACTCAAGCAACTGGATATGATTTTGAAAACGTCAGACGTTTCAGCTAGTATCCACTAGCTTTCGTCAGTGACTGAGAGACCAGAGGGGGAAGCAGGTTTATATACACAACCTGTTGATTGATATGCAAATAAAGTGAAGACAAATTTTTGGAAGTCGAAAAAGGAACAAAGGTCAGACAAGCCAAGACAAGATGATGCAAATTAGTCTGAAAGCTCCTGTTATACAGGACAGGAGCTTAACTGATCAGTACCTGGCTTTTGATTCCCACCACCCTTTGGAACACAAACTAGCAGTGATCAAAACTCTCTTTCATCGTGCAGACAACATTGTCACTTCAGACCAAGCCAAAACGGACGAACAAAGACACCTCCGAGGTGCCCTGGCTAAATGTGGCTACCAAAACTGGACTTTCAACAAAGCGCTCAAACCTTCAGATCAGTCTAAGAAAACCCAGAAGTGCAAACCATTGACCAACAAAAACAAGGCCAACATCACTATTCCGTATGTCCAAGGAGTATCTGAGAAACTCCGACGGATCTTCCAAAACTTCAACATAGCCACTAACTTCAAACCTCACTCAACCCTCAGACAAAGACTGGTACACCCTAAGGACCGACCTCACAAGGGTACCAAGGCGAATGTTATTTACAGACTCAAATGTGAGGAGCCCAATTGTAACAACACCTACATCGGAGAGACAAGTCGACCGCTTAAAGTAAGGTACAAAGAACATTGCCGACCTAGTGCCAACGGCTACTCCTCAGCTATTTTCCACCACCTACAACACAACCAGGGTCACTCTTTCAAACTCGAGTCCACGGATGTCTTAGACCGCGAAACACGCTGGTGGGAACGGGGTGTTAAAGAGGCAATATATGAAAGAATGTACAACCCCACCCTCAACAGGGAAGGGGGGCTACGGGTCGATCTTTCCGGCACTTGGGATTTGGCACTCCCAGCCCCGAGGACAGACAACACTTAAGCTCCTGTCCTGTATAACAGGAGCTTTCAGACTAATTTGCATCATCTTGTCTTGGCTTGTCTGACCTTTGTTCCTTTTTCGACTTCCAAAAATTTGTCTTCACTTTATTTGCATATCAATCAACAGGTTGTGTATATAAACCTGCTTTCCCCTCTGGTCTCTCAGTCACTGACGAAAGCTAGTGGATACTAGCTGAAACGTCTGACGTTTTCAAAATCATATCCAGTTGCTTGAGTAACTGTTTTTTTGGTATACATGCCCTGCTTTGACTGATTGAACAACTAATTTGATCAGTGAGGATAACCCGATGGTTTAATTGGATCAGTCATCTTGAAGCTTGTCTGGTCAAATAGTGAGTTGGAAGACCTCTAGTTATGAATTCATAGTTGGATGTTATTTTATGCAGATGCAAACTTTCATGCTTAGTTTTTCTTTTGATGTAACAGTTTTAGTGCTGTGTTTTGTTTATATGCAGATTTTGAGGTTTTGCTAGTTATACAGTGTATTTTGTTTACAAATCCATATAACATGTACATGTAACAAAAATCATTCCTTGAAGTTTAGTTGAAGGCCACACCAAGTTGATTTGTTGGTTCTTGGACTTTTGCAGGAAATTAATGAAGTGAGCAGGCAAATAAAGAAAACAATGCTGCAATACTCAAACAGTATATAACCTTCTTACCATACTCATGCAAAGTCAACATATTACGCAGTATAACTCATTCAATTGGGGTCTAAATCAACCCCAAAATCTGGATGTTTTATGTGGTTTTGAGTGGTACATGGTTTGTATTTTGTTTATCTTTTATTTCTTGTTTTTGAAAATCAGAAGAAAAAAAACAAGCACTAGGCAAATCTGAGAACCAACAAATAAAATTGGTGTGGACAGGGAGGTTATACAATCATGTAACCTCAGTGTGGACAAATGTGCATCATATCAAACTGGAACCTTGTTGCATAGTGGAACCTTCTCAAAATGCTATACACGATTGACAAGAAAGGCGAAACTGGTTGCCATGCACATGGTGCATTTATAAATAATTGTTCTTTAAGTAATTTCTAAGATTTGTTAATATTGTCACGAAATTAAGTAAGAGTATATTGAAACAGCAAATAGATACATGTATGTGGCAACTAATGTATTGCTTTATGCTTCATATTGTTTAGATAGTATCCAAGAAATCATGTAGAGATGAAAAACAATGTGACACTACTTGTGATCAATTACACTATATTTCATCTGACACAAAATTTTAAAAAAAATCTAGCATTTTTTTGGGAAAGAAGTATATATAACTTAAATTATATATCCTAGAGCTACAGAATGTAGTGAAGCTTTGAGAGGAGATAGTTTGCTTACATGGTAGACGGTGAACCCTTTGGGAAGTGCTGGTTCAGAACACTGTATGATGTATATTTTGGCAGAAATACCAGTTTCAGAATATAAAATACTCGAATACTGGAATGATGTATACATTTTTTTGTACATATGTCTTCAATCTGATGATTTAATAGATTAGAGGTACAATGTAGTACAATATGTCACATGCATGTACAGATCTTGAAAGTATGTCTCCATATGACAGTATATAGTGTGAGTGTGTGCGTGCGTTAATGAGTGTGTGAGTGAGTGAGTGAGTGAGTGAGTGAGTGAGTGAGTGAGTGAGTGAGTGAGTGAGTGAGTGAGTGAGAGAGTGAGCGTGCCTGTGTGTGTACATGTGTGTGAGTGCATGCGCCTTAAGAGCGAATGTCTGTAAGGGTCAAACAATGGTGGCACCGGTCAAAAAATTGATTTGGCTCATTTTTTTGTACAGTGACGGACCAAAAAAGTTTTCAGGCCATTTGTCCAGATTTTGGCATGTACAAAACATAGAAATTGGCTAGCTTTAGGGCACTATAACTGATCAGTGCTTCAGTGTAACGACAAGAGAAAGATGTGCTGATTAGAGCAATGCCTAAACTTCTATGAAATAGCAGTAAAACCAATGTTCAGTAAAATCTGAGGTCTTGGGCACTTTGAATACAATTTTGCCCAACTTTGAAGCACTGTAGGTCCCAAAAAGAAGTGATGTTTTGCTTGAAATTTACACTGCATAATAAACCATTACAGAG